ACTGTTCCCCGGTCCTGGTTTCAGCATGCCTGCTATTTTGTGTTTTGCCCCCTGTGCTGACAGCCTGCCTACCCTCAATATACCAAGTTCTGACACCTGCCTCTGGTACACTCAGAATCCCTTCACCCAGCAGGCGGTTTCCATGGAAACCAAGACAAAGGGGAAGAAAAGGCTCCGTTCTCGAGTTTCTCGGGTGTGGGACATGCTTTGTGTCCATTTCGCAGAGTCGTTTCCGCCCCATCCCCAGACAGGCCTCGGCTGTGGGAGCCGCCCCACCTCTCGTCCGCTTGGAGCAGGGCTGGGCGAGTTTGCCGTCACGGGATTCCAATGAGGGAGCAGCTCACCGCTCTCAGGGGCAGTAACTTATTTAAGATTAAACCACAGAAAGGAAAAAAAAAAAGGAGTGTGCAGGCTGATTTAGAGGAAGAGGGCTGGAGCGTGAGGGCGCTTAAATCTTAAATTTCTGGGTCACCTCGCCATGGATATTGAGATGCTTCTGAACCTCTACACTGGAGCGGATCGCTCCCTCCTCTGAACTTGACCACTACTCAGCGTGGCCTCCACAGCTTCACCTGCCCACTTACCACCTGGTATTGTTTGGTGCCTTGGTGTGTGTGTCATTCCCCAGCTAGATTGTGAGCTCCTCAGTGGCGAGGTTTTTGTAGCTCTTCAGATCTCCTTGGGGACCTAGGAGAGTGCCTTGCACAGAGTAGATTAATTATCAAAGTTGGTTAATTGTATCCAAAACTGTTTTTAGTTGAAGTAGAATGAAAAGTTGCTGTACAGAGTAGCTGTTATCCTCTCACTGGAAGGGTACAAGCAGAGGCCAGATAGCCACTTACCTGTGACAGTTTCAGGAGGAAATAATGCATCGATGGAAGGTGGAGGTAGAAGACGTCTCAGGTCTTTTCCACCCCCAGATTCTGTGATTCCATGAAGTGTCACTATTGCCACCACTGAATCTAATGATGGAAAATGGGTTGTTGCTTCAGAGACAGATGACTCTCTAGAAGCCATGTGACTCCTGTTTGCTTGTGGAGCAAATGGTCCCCGGCTGGGTGGGTCTTTAAGTAGTAGAGCTCCCCAGCGGCACACATCGTTACCCAGGTCCAGTGATAGAGTATTAAGATTGACATTTTGTACCCACTGAGGTTTCCGCCCTTTAAAGATCTTCCCCTGAAGTGTAAGGAGAAGCAGATGGGGACGAGCAAGTTCGGCACACTTTATTATGCATTGCACATTTTACTTATTAGAATTCTGAGTGTGACGCTTGCATTTTTAAAAAGCTTCAAGATGCAAACAAAATGAAATTATTCATTGAAATATTTAAATCAGTGTACAGCAATTACATCAAAATATCAAAATAAAATCCAGCAGCCTGGAAGATAGATTCCTGTCTTCCTTTTGAAAGTCATCTTGGGGCTTGCTCTGAGATGAGGTCAGGCAGGGAATGCATCCTTGATGAGGCCGCAGAGGGGTAAGGGGCATCCAAGGTCGTGTAGGGGAGAGACGGTGGTGGGAATGAGGGCAAGTGAATACGCCAAGACATTCTCCTACTGAAAAAAGAACCAAGAAGGGAGTTCAGGACCCAGGTGCCAGGTGCCTCTTCCATCAGCCTGCCTCTGCCGCCCTTTACTGAATGGATTCCCACCCACCCCCCGGCCTTGTCGATTGCCAGCCCTCACTCCACAGAGGGCGCATGAGGATTAACAAGCTCCGATGGGTAGCCTCGGACTGTGTGAGAGGGGTGCAAGGTGCAGTGGAGTGCAGTGAATGTGGCTGCCAATCGTAGACATGGCACCCTTCTTACCTTACAGGGAATTTTGATGATCAGTGTCAATTAACCAAGGCTTACAAGAGACTTCAGAAATCACTGGAGTCCAAATGCGCATTGGTTCCAGTCCAACATCCCAGTGGCATCTCTTAGACTTGTAGCCCTGTGGGCTAGAAGAAATCTTACAGCTCATCCACTTTGGCCTCCCGTTTAACACTCGAATTCCCTGTCCTGAGAAATGGTCGTGCAGCATGCAGCCGAGTGCATGGAAGGAGCAGGGCTTCAGGAATCAAACAGGCCTGGAGCCAGGTCTCAGCTCCTCCACCCACTGTCTCTTTGACCCAGAACAAATTACCAGCATCGCCAAGCTTTCATTTCCTTAGCTGTGTGTCACGAGCAATACTAACATTGCAGAATTGTTGTGAGAATTAGAAATAACATTGTTAAAAGATGCTAGCCAGCCACAACGAAGAGTTGAGTCACATCTTAGGTTCTGTCCACTCTGGAGAAGCCTGTGACTGTGTCCGTAGCTCCTTGGGACATTCTAATGCATGCCCTACAAGTATATTTCACAGTTCCCTGCTCCTTACCATAGTATATGGGAATAGGAACACTACTACCTCTGTGCGGAAAGCTGCATCTTAAGAGCTATAATGTCAAATGCTGAACTGAAAAGTTACCTTTCTATAATTGTAGTAGACTGTGGAGAGGAGTAACAGTGTATGAAATACGAAATGAAGTAGGAAATAGTAAAAGGGGCCAGAACCTGTGGAGCTCCATTGGCCATTGTAAGGAGTTTGAGTTTTGTTACCAGTATAATGGAATTCATTGAAGTATATTAAGCACATGACCTGATATATGGGCTTTAGGAGCTTGCTCCTGACTTGTGTGTGGAGAATAGACTGCAGGTGGACAAGAGTGGAAGCAAGGAGGTCATTTAGGTTTTTACCTTGTGATCCTGGCTACAATTAATGTGATGGCGAGGATGGAAAGAAATGGACAGGTTTGCCCGGCCGGGCGTGGCTCAGCGGTTGAGCGTCGACCTAGGATCCAGGCGATCGGGGTTCGATTCCCGGTCAGGGCACATGCCCGGTTGCAGGTTTGATCAATGACTCTCTCATCATTGATGTTTCTATCTCTCTCTCTCTCCCTCTCCCTTCCTCTCTCTGAAATCAATAAAGATATATTTTTTTTAAAAAAAAATTAAAAAAAAAAAAAGAAATGGACAGGTTTGAGAGGTTGTTTGAAAGTAGAATCAAGACTCGCTGATGGATTGGGTGTGAGGGAAAGTGAGACATGAAAAATGACTCCTGGGTTTTTGTTTTGGGTAACAGTGGTGCCATTTCCTGAGATGAAGAGTAGAGAAGGAATGAATCGGGGGAAGGAGAGGTCAGGAGTTTTGTTTGGATGAGTTAAGTTTGAAATCAGATATCTGAGTGGATTTGCCAAGTGTGTTGGACAAATGAATTCGGTACTCAGGGCTGAAGATATAAGTTGGGCAGTCATGAGCAGATCAATGCTGTTTTACCCAAAGGACTAGAGTAGTTCACTTAGGAAAAAAAGTTAATTTTTTTTTAATTTAAAAATTTAAGAAGTTTTAAATTTTTTAGATTGTCAGAAAAAAGCAGTGGGAGGAATAAGCCGCAGAGCCCAGTGACATTTAAAAGCTCAGCAGAGGAAGGAGAGACAGAAGAAGAGCCTGAGAGAGAGGCTGAGAAAGTGTGATGTTGTGGAAGCCAAGAGAAGCAAGTGTTCCAGGAAAGAGAGAGTTGTCAACGTGGGTTGGCTCGAATGCAACTTGAGTCATAAAGTAAGATGAGTTTATGGAGGCATAAACTATAGGATTTGGTGGAGCCGGTTGGTGACCTTGAAAATAAAATATGTTGTGGAATGATAGAGTCAGAAGTCAAAGCAGAATGGTTGAGAAGGAAAGGGAGTTAAGAAATTGATGACTGAAGTTTTGCTGAAAAGAAGAGCAGATAAATGGGGAGGTCGCTAGAGAGGATGTGAATTTAAGGTTTTGCTTTATTTCATTTTTGTTTTAAATAGGAGATTCTGGTGCATATTTAAATACCAGTGGAAATAAAGCAGAGAAAAAGAGAGAGAGAAAGGTTACTGCAGGGAATAAAGTAGACAAAGGCAGGATCAAAGTCCTTGAGAAAGGGGTAGACCCAGAGCACAGCAGACGCCTTGGCCTTCTGTGGAAACAGCGGAAGGCAGGTAGGAACAGAGTGGGGTAAATTGGTGGATTTGCGATGGGAAGGGGAGCGATCCTGTCAGTTTACTTACATTTATTTACTCAGTGAACTATGACTTTAGGTCACCTTTTGAGAATGAGCCAGGACTTCTGGTTCCTGAGCCCAAATGCACTATGTCCTTTACTTACCGTTTGTTACGCTTGGAAAGAGTGAAAATGGCAACCCCTTTTGTATGATGTGTTTTAAAGAACTATCAGTGATAAAGTAATTCATGTTTATGCGTTCATTCGATACTTTATCCTGAATTATTCAAGTTCCCAGCAGGGACTAAAATTCACATGGTTTGTTTAAATGAAGACACTTTAATGAAGAACTATTTGCAGAGATAGAGTGGAATTAAGAGGTGCTGCACCCAGAGACTGTCAGCAGTCAGAACTCGTTACCACCCTTAGGGCCAGAGGGCCAAGGGAGATGAGCAGTGTTCAATCCCAGGGGAAGCTGGACGAACTAAGGTCATGGTTTTGCAAAAATTGCAAATGTAAGGTATTTTAACTGTAATCTATTAAGACTATAACTTTTCTCACTCTGACCCTAGAAAGGACTCCCCACCCCTCCATTATATGTACCTAGGGCCCCACAAAACCTGGATCTGCTGCTGCTTTCAACAGAGACTCAGGTGCACTGGTGCAAATTTTACCCCTTTCCCAAGATTCCACCACTACCTGGGTGGGGTGGTTAATGGGCATCAAAATGGACATTTTACAAAGGGAAGGATACAGCAGGAGGGTAAGAAAAGCAAAGGAGGAAGGGACACATGGCACCAAAGGAGGAAGAAGGAAGGCCCTGTGCCTGGAGAGTCCCCTATCTGCCATGCACCGTAGAGTAAGGGAGGGTTGTCGGGGCCCCCAGGTGACTGGTTTCTCTCTGGGGCCTCGCTCAGATGCTGCTCTCTCTGTTTCAGATGCAGATGGAAACCTGTGCCGAAGTAACCAACTGCTGCAAGTCATGCTGACCATGCACCGAATTGTCATTTCCTCTGCTGAGCTGCTCCAGAAAGTGATCGCCCTATATCCTTTCAGCACGCTGACCCGCAGGCCCAAAGTGGGCTTTTCTCAAAAATAGCTTGAAACTGGAAGTTTGCTTTTATTTTGATCAATTTGGAATAATCCCAAGTGGTAAATGGGTTCACATGTAACATGTCCTTTCAGGGACATGGTGTGTGTGTGTGTTTATACACATACATAGGTCTGTGCGTCTTCAGTGGGGAGGGGCAATGCTATTGATGCTGATTGCTCTGGGAAGTAGTCAAAGAAATCAGCATGCGAACAGTCTTGTTCGGTGTTCCTGACTAGTAAAAATACTTCCCTGTAGATTCATCAAATTTCATATTCACCCCGTGCAAATTGACAAGGGTGCAAGCTTGACTCAAGTGATGACATGCATTCTGGCTTTCCTGCCCAGTTCTGGAACCTTCCCCAGGTTCTGACGGCTTCCTGGTGGCATAGCATCTGGAGAGTCTGCTGGTGCCTTTTGCTTCAGGCAGCAAACCCTGCTGGATTTTAACCTTCCTGTGGGGTGTGAACCGAGTGGAGCGGGGAGAGCACCTGCCTTCTCCCCCTCGCTGATGACACTGCAAGCTGCGGCCCCTGAAGAGAAACCGTGGGTAGGGTGAGACTGTTTAGCACCCGAAGCCCGGATCCCTGGCACTGAGTCATGACTGCGGCCCTTCTAATCTTTACTGCTCCCCTGACCCCTGACCTTTTCATCTGTGTCACACACAAAAATAAAGCTGTCAGGACTGAATTCCTTCTCTAAGCCTACTGATATAGGGTGTGTCCCCAAAAATGTATACTCATACTCACACTTTGAATAATTACAAAGGCAGTGTTTATTAAAATTGGGCTATCAGCTGTTAAAGTGTGTATCCATTTTTTAGGGACACCCTGTACATCTTTACCTCTCATCTCAAAGGAGGTGTTTCCAGCGGCATTCCAAGGGCGGGGCCCACATAAGAGGTGCAGATAATAAGTGGGTGTCTGGTCTGTAGGGAACTTTAAAACCATAATAAAACCGACCCAGAGTTGGTCTGCTTTTTATTAACTCCATGTACCAGCAATTCTAAACAATGTTAGGGATTAAGTATTTCTCCCTGCAAAATTTGTTGGTCTAAGGCCTGAATTGTACCTGGAGTGCCGCACACACAGTGAGTGGTCCCCTCTCCCCTCCCCTCCTCCTCACAGGACCTTACCCATCAGCTGTCTCCCCTCTCTCCTGTACTTTTAAACTCTGCCTCTTCAATGGCACCTGCCCCTCATCCTAAAACACATCGAAATGTCCCCAGCCTAAAAATAAACTGTCAGGGCTACCTCCCCTTCGTTCCACTGTTAGGGTTAGAAATTTGATGTGCAACCGTCTTAAAATAGTCTGCACCCACTATCTCCAGTCTCTCAACTCCCTCCCACTCTTTAATTCAACCGTGGCCCCACCCCTGCACTCAGACTTTCCTCTGATGTCACCAGTGACCTCCTAGTTGCCAGCCCCATGGCTTTTTTCCATCCTTGTGTATGCTGACCTCCCAGAAGCACTGGGCATTGTTGACACCCCTGCCTCCCAAACTGTCCCTCGAGGGCTCCTGAATATGTACCTGCCTGGCTCTCCTTCCTCTTGGCTGCCCCTCCTCCAGCTTTGCATCCAGCATCTCCTTTAAGCACCTCTTAAATACTGGGCTAACATCTTGGTTTTCTGTGTCTTCTTCCTTCCCTGGGTGATGTCTCACCAGGATTTTCATTACCATTCCTGTGTCGATGACTCTCGAGTCTGTATTTTTCTAAACCACTTCTTAAAAATGTTTGGACTAATTTGTCCTGCAGACACATCGATCTTAATATGTTCAAACCTTAACTCATTAACTCACCACCCCCTCTCCCCAACTACTACCCCCTTAATTCTGCTTTGACATTTGTATTTTCATTTTCAGTTTCAGTTAGTGGTGACATTACCGTTCAGTTGCCGGAACTTGAAACATCAGCAGCTCTCTCGACTCCTTCCTGCCTTTCACCTCCCACAGAGTCCACCACCCAATCCCAGAGTTTCAGCTCCAGAAATGACTCTCATCTGGTCTCTCCTCTCCATTCCCATGCCATTGCCGTAGTCCGGGCCCCCTGGGCTCTCTCCTAGGCCTCTGTCCCATGGTCTTCTCACCTGCGCGCCTCCCCCTCCTGTTCACTGTCCCCCTCTGAAGTTACTTTCCTGAGAAATCAGTAACCATTGCTTCGGAGCCTCTGCCCCCGAGAGGGGTGATGTCAGACTCCTCAGTTGCCAGGAGATGGCCCTCCGGGGTCTAACCCCAGTGTGTGTCTCTCACTTCACCCTGCTGCTCTCAGAAACCCTTCCCCCCCCC